GTACATTCCTTAATTTAAAAATACTTAGGGACACCTGGGTGACTCTGGAATTCCGGGATGAGTTCTGCATTGGGCTCCCTGTGGGGCGCTTGCTTCACCCTCTGCCTGTGTCTCTTCCCCGCCCCTCTGTGTGTCTTGTGAATAAAAAAGATCTTTATAAAAATACTTAATTACTAAAAATGCTAACCAGCATCTGAGCTTTCAGTGAGTCATAATCTTTTTTTTTTTTTTTGAGTCATAATCTTTTTTGCTGGTGGAGGGAATTACCTACATTTTGGTGGCTTCTGACTGATCAGGGTGATAGTTGCTGAAGGTTGGGGCAGCTGTGGCAATTTCTTAAAACAAGAAATCAATGAAGTCTGACATATCAATGGACTTTTCCTTTTATGAACAATTTCTCTGTAGTGTGTGATGCTCTTTGATAGCATTTTAGCCACAGTAGAGCATCTTTCAGAATTGGAGTCAGTCCTCTCAAACTCTGCTGCTGCTTTATCAACTAAATGTATGTAATATTCTAAGTCCTTTGTTGTCATTTCAACACTCTTTACAACCTTTTCACCAGTATATTCCATCTCTAGAAACCATTTACTCTGCTTATCAGTAAGAAATAATTTCTCATCTGTTTAAATTTCATCATGAGGTTGTAACAATTCAGTCACATCTTCTGATTTTAGTTCTCTTGCTGTCTCTACCCCATCTGCAGTTACTTCCTCTATTGAAGTCTTGAACCCCTCAAGATCCATAAGGACTGGGACAGCTTCTTCCAAACTCCTGTTCATGTTGATATTTGGACCTCTTCCCATGAATCATGAATATTCTTAATGGCATCTGGAATGGTGAATCCTTTCCAGAAGGTTTTCAATTGACTTTGCTCAGAGCCATCAGAGTAATCACTATATATGGCAGTTATAGTTTTAAAAAATGGTTTTCTTAAACAGTAAGACTTAAAAGTTGAAATGATTTATTGATCAATGGGCTACAGAATGGATGTTGTGTTAGTAGTCATATGTACAATATTAATCTCATTGTACATCTCCATCAGAGCTTTTGAGTGACCAGGTGCATTGTTCATGAACAGTAATATTTTGAAATAAATCTTTCATTTTCTGAGTAGTAGGTCTTGACATATTCACTAAATAATTTTGTAAACAAATGTGCTATCACCCAGGCTTTGCTATTCCATTTACAGAGCACAGGCAGAGTAGATTTAGCATAATTCTTAAGAGCCCTAGGATTTTTAGAATAGTAAATGAACATTGGCTTCAACTTAAAGTCACCAGATGCATTACGCTGTAGGAAGAGAGTTAGTCTGTCCTTTCAGCTTTGAAGGCAGGCATTGAGTTTTCCTTTCTAGCTATAAAAGTCCTAAATGGTGTCTTCTTCCAGTAGAAGGCTGTATTGTCTACATTAAAAATCTATTCCTTAGTGTATTCACCTTCATTAATTATCTGAGCCAAATTTTCTTTTTTCTTTTTAAGATTTTATTTATTCATGAGAGAGACACAGAGAGAGAGAGGGGCAGAGACACAGGCGGAGGGAGAAGCAGGCTCCATGCCGGGAGCCCGATGTGGGACTCGATCCTGAGACTCCAGGATGACACCCTGGGCCAAAGGCAGGCGCTGAACCACTGAGCCAGCCAGGGATCCCCTAGCTTTTGGTTTAAAGTGAGAGATGTGCAACTCTTCACTTGAACACTTAGAGGCCACTATAGGGGTTATTATTTGACCTAATTTCAATATTATTCTGTCTTAAAAATTGGGGAGGCCTGAGGAAAAGGAGAGAGATGGGAGAATAGCTGGTTAGTGGAACAATCAGAACACACACAACATTTATCAATTAAGTGTACCATCTTATATGGATGTGATGGGTCTTGGTGTCCCAAAGCAATTACAATAGTAACATCAAAGATCACTGACCACAGACCACCATAACAAAAATAATAATGAAAAAGTTTGAAATATTGTGCAAATTACCAAAATGTGACACAGAGACCCAAGGTGAGCAAATAGTGTTGGAGAAATGGCCTGCCAATTGACTTACTCCATGCAGGGGTGTCACAGACCTTCAACAACAACAACAACAAAAAAATGCAGTATCTGTGAAGCACCATAAAATGCAATAAAGGAGGTTTGCCTGTATTGTTTTTTTTTTAATTTTTATTTATTTATGATAGTCACAGAGAGAGAGAGGCAGAGACATAGGCAGAGGGAGAAGCAGGCTCCATGCACCGGGAGCCCGACGTGGGATTCGATCCCGGGTCTCCAGGATTGCGCCCTGGGCCAAAGGCAGGCGCCAAACCGCTGCACCACCCAGGGATCCTGGTTTGCCTGTATTGTAACGGATTGAATTGTATCTCCCCAAAAGTTAGGTTAAAGTCCTAATCCCAGGTTCCTGAAATTGTGACCTTATTTGGAAATTGAGTCTTTATAGAAATAGTGAAGTTAAAATTAGTTCATTAGGATGGACTCTAATTCAATATGACTGGTGTTCTTATTAAAAGGGGGAATTTGGAAACACAAGCAGGCATGCAAAGAAGGAAGAACATATGAAGACACATAAAGAGAATCTGGCCATGTCAACTGGAGTGAGGCACCTATAAGCAAGGATTATTGGGAAGCACCAGAAACTACATGAGGCTGCAAGGATCTTCTAGAGTTGCCAGGGAAAGCATGGTCCTGCTAACAGGATTTCAGACTTCTGGTCTTTGTAACTGTGAGACAATGTGTTGCTGTTGTTTCAAGCTACTTGGTTATGGCAGCCCTAGGAAATTGATAATAGTTACTTCAGACAGTTGCTGACTTCAATAATTGTTTGGGTGGAATGGTGGATGGATTTCTGGAGCTTCCTACTCTGCCGTCCTCTGTGACATCCTATTTATTTATTTATTTACTCTGATATAAGCTCTATGAGGACATAGAATTTTGTCTCTTATGTGAACTCTTATGTAGACATAGCATTAACAGACAAATACTGCAGCACTAGGTCACTTATTATTGAATGCTTTAAGATACAAAGGAATGTGGACAAGTCAATATGGTCCCACCCTGGTGGAGAAGTGAGGTGTGTATTAAATGTGATGATGGAAATAAGTTCAGCATAATGTGATATAAAGCATCAGCCACTTTGGGAAAGCCAGGGGAGGTTCCAGAAGACAGATGGCCAGTGCTGTGTGAATTTGTGCTTTGTTTGCTCCTCCAAAGAGCCAAAACTTCAAGTTTGAAACTCTCTGTGACAGCATTTGGGTTCATCATGAGACAACAAAAGCAAAGATTGAAACATGCAATGAAGATTGCTCAGGGGCCCCTGTGCCAGGAGTTTCTGTGTCTGCATCAGAGAGATTTCCCAGGATGTTTTCTCTTCCAATAAATATTAGGGGGGAAAAAAGTGAGCTTTTTAAAATGCTCCTTGTGACCCAACAAATATTAAGGGCTCTTTCTCAGACCTTATAAGGCAATTCTGGATACTTTAAGCAGGGCTGGCAGAGCAACATGTGCAGTAGGCTGGTAGAGAGGAGTGTCTGCAGCAGGTGCATAGGTCTGCAGGTCGCCTGCAGCCTGCCAGTCAGTCTCTGCTGGGGCATATGGGATCTCCTCAATGTGTCCTTCCTCTGGGGCCCCCATAGGGCAGCAGTATTTCCTAGGGCATACTTTTCTCCTGGCTGAACCTGAAGCTCCAGAGTAGCTTGCAATAACATGGGATGCTTTTTTCTAGTCCACTTACCTTTCATTGGTCAAAGCCCAGTGTCAGTGGGGTGGGGAAGTGGATCCTTTTGCCCCATTGGGGCCACTGCAGAGGCATGCATGTGAAGTCCTACTGCAGGGATAAAGAACTAGGGAGTGATCCAATTTTCCTAATTAAACAATTAGGCATTACTTTTTATGATGTCAAGTGACCTGCTCTCCAGCAGAGCATAGTTCTGCTGTCCTTTGATTCTCTACAGCAAATGAAATCATATGTCACATATCTTCACAATGGTTTCGGCTTTCTGCTTTTGACTTTGGGAAATCCTTTCTGAATGGGTTACCATTGGAACCCTCCTCACCTGCTCTTTAGAGATGTGCACACAAGGCCCTGGGGCAGCAGATTCAATGGTCCTTCCTTAACATCTTGTCTTATGTGCTGCCCTGAGGAACCTAGCAGTGGCAATATGGACCAACATCCCCCCCAAGCCAGTTGGAAGCAGGCCTCATGGCTACATCCTCCCCCTGGCTACATTCTCCTACATTAGCAACATGATCCACAAGGGGACATGCTTTTGGAACACAAATTCCTTACAGAAACCTCACAGCTGCTGCATGTTTCTTTGATAACAATAATATGAAATTCATCTTTGTCAGAAAGGTAGACTGGATCCTAGCATGATTTACTAGAGTACTACTTTCTAGTTATTGAATCTGATACCTATTATCATATGAACATCAGCAGGGTTGGGAAGACTGCACAGAGAGCAGTGCTGAGAAGTGGTTTAGCACATGGTTACCATTGTGCAGTTTGGAATCAGAGAACTGTGCTCAGGTTCCAGTCTGATCACTTGTAAGATATGTTTCTCTCCATACCTTGATTTCCCCATCTATCGATTGAAGGATGACAAATAGACCTGAGGGATGTTTGAGGATTAAATAACGTGATATGTGCATGGAGTTAGTATAAGACTTGGTCCACTGCAAGGCTAAGAAATGTTGGTTAGATGGTAAGAGTCATGGTCTCAGCCACTGTAGAGGTTCTACAGGACTTTATGCCACTTAGGATCCACAACAGAAGTTAGGGCAGTTGAGGAAAACCAGGATTAGCTAGTTGGTCATATGGCTGGAAACAAAAACATCTCCATGGACTCAAACTCAAGGTTCTGTGGATTCTGAAGTTTACTTTGTTTTCCTGTTGAACATCCTATGCTTCTTACAGTTTGATGAAAAAGTGCTTTAGATTTTGTAAATCAGTCACATTAGGGAAACTCTTCTGGGTTTCCATGTATTTGACTGTAGTGTTCCTTTCCTTTACAGATTCCTGTGCTCCTGAACCTCATCCAAGACCCTGAGGTCAGCCTGCCTGCACCACCGCTCATATATGCCCTGGCCCTTGGAGCCTGCCTGGGAGGTAAGGGGGTATGATGCATTCACAGAAGTTACCTCAAAGTGGTGGTTTATACATGGTGGTTTACATGAAGGTAAATTAAGGAGAGTTTGGATGATTTCCTGAGTCAAAAGCCATCTTCAGCTTTTACTGAAGCAATTCTAGAGCTCTTCTATTCCTCTGTAAGCTTGTCACTTCCCGCCCTCTGCAGAACTTCCCCTGACATTCTAAGACTGCAGCCTGAGGATGATCATTACTGAAATATCAAAGTGAATGTGCTCCCACGTTGCACCCATATTTCACCCACACAGATGTGGCTTGTGTTTAGAAACAGATTTTGAATCAGAAACCATCTTCAGTGCAGTTTCTTATTTCCTCCATAAAGGGTTGGGGGGAAGATGAATCAGTAAATAAAGACCTAGAGACTCTAACTTAAGAGTAAGAAAAAGGATGAAAGATTGTTCTTTTTTGGACAGGGGGATTGTCCTTTAGAGAATTTAAGAAGTAAATTAGTAAAAGTATCAAAAGAGACTAACCTCTGGTAAGCAAACAAGGGTTTTGATCATCTTTTGAGGGAGCTTGTGTTAGAGTCCTTCTCATATTTAGGAGGCATAATCACCTTAGGGAACACAAGAGGATTTTAGAGAATCTTAGATAAACACACCAGATACATTTAAAGTTGGTATTCTTATATCCAGGCATGCTTAGGTAATCCAGCTTGCTTCATTCTTTGATTACTCTCTATGAAATCAATAACTCTCTGTTTAGTTTATCTCTTTGTTTATAAAGGGGGATTAATGTAATTCAGTGAAGTTGCTATGATTTCTGGAGGGAGCTAATTCATTTAATTCAGCAACTTAGACTTCGATTACTTATGAGACTATAGATCTGGTAAAATGGCCCCCATTTAAGCATTAGCCCCAGGAAAAGCAATAACTGTATTCACAGCTACATTTAACATCAGTGATAGAAACAGAATCTAGGGGCACCTGGAAATATGTCTGTTATGTGGGACTTTGTTCATTAAACCTTACTGAGCATCTGCTGTAACCTGAATTCTGCTTTTGAGTGGGGAGATAGTGACCTAAGCTAAGGTTACACCTGAAACAGATGTGTCCTCTCATGGAGGAATGCACAGAGTACTTAGAGGTCCCAGACAGAGCCTAGAGGGAATCTCAGGGAAAGTCCTCCAGAAAGGAAAGCCTTGAGCTGGGTCTCAAAAGGTGAGAAGCCTCTTGGGCTAGTGCTGATTCCCCAGAACATGTAGAATGAATGTGGGTGGGATTATCAAGGACAGAAGTTAACATGGACCCTTTACATGACTAATAACCTAAAATACATATAAATGCCTTTTGACCGAGGCACCTTTGAAAGCAGGGATTCAGCTGTAATGAATAATAAATGTATTAAGGCTTTGAATCTTTTTAACCTAGTAGCTCTGGTCATTGAATGACACTTGTTCCTGGATTGCAGATGCCCAGTTGTGCTGAGTGTTAACTTTACACTTACTCTGTAAGGGATCCTCTTTCATCGACTCAGAGTTTGGAATCACTTTTTTAAAAATTGTGGTAAAATGTACATGGCACACAATGTACAATTTAACTATTTTTAAGGATGTACAACATAAGCAGCCATTAGAGAAATGTAAACTAAAACTACAGTAAGATATCATCACATATCTGTAAGAATGGCTAAAATAAAAAATAGCAAAAACACCAAGTATTGACAAGGATGTGGGGAAACTGGATCACTTATACACTTATCATTGGAGCTATAGAGTGGTCCCATCACTCTGGAGAATGGTTTGGCAGTGTTTTAAAAAACGTAACCTGCAACTACCATAAAACCCAGCAATTGTACAACTGGGCATTTATTCTAGAGAAATGAAAACTTATGTTAACTCAAAACCTACGTAAAAATGTTGATTTGTGATAGCCAAAAAGTAGAAATAAACCAGATGTCCTTCAATAGTAAATGACTAAAAAAACTGTGGTACATCCCTACCGCGGAATGCCACTTGACAGTAAAAAGAAATTATGAATTGACACACATAGTAACCTTAATGGATCTCCAGGAAATTATATGGAGTGAAAAAAAAAGTCAATATCAAAAGATTACAGACTGTCTGATTACATTTATATGATATTGAAGAGATACAGTTGTAGAAAAGCAGAATAGATTAGTGATTAGTGGGGGTTAAGTACAGGGCAAGGTGGAAGGAAGTGTGTCCAGCTGTAAAAGGGCCATAGGAGACATCATTTTGGTGATGAAAATGTTCTGTATATTGACCATCAATGTCACTGTTCTGATTGTGATAAAGTACTATGATTTTGAATTACCTTACCATTGAAGGAAACTGGTAAGTGATACATGGGATCTCTTTATATTATTCCTCATACCTTCATGTGAATATACAGTTACCTCAAATAAAACTTCAGTTGCAATAATAGAAAAAGGAAAAGGCAGAGGGAAGAATGTTCTTATTGATTAAATCCATAATTACTAAACTAATTAAATATGGATAGATAGGCTGACTGAAAAATAAAGTCAAGGAAATAAACAATAAATTACAGAGGAAAAATAAAACACATAAAAATTCATTATGAGAAATCCAATATTTGACTTCTAAGAAAAATCTCAGGAAAGACACTGAAATGAAGGAAGGAATTTATCCAAAAAATAATAGAAGTGAATTTTCCTGAGTAGAAGCAGCACATGAGTGGATACATACCTAATGCCATCTTTGTGAAATTTTGGAACTTTATGGAGGCTTAGAAACCTGCCTAATGTCATACAAGTAGTAAATCTTAAAGCTGGGAATCTAGCAGCCCAGCTCCAGAGTTTGTTGGCTAAGGTCTCTTTACGTTGAGAACAAGAAATTAGAAATACTAGGTTTAGCAAAAAATGGTACAAAAATAGTGTTCAAATTTGGAGCAAATTAAAATGAAACATGACCTTAAGCAAATGATAGAACATAAGAAATGAGACTTGATTGGCCCGTGGTCCTGGTAGATGGTAAATGGTCTTGGCCTTACAGGGGTTGCATTTACATAGTCTGGGTGGTATAAATGTTGCTGACTGAGTTTCCCAGTTGGAATGAACCCACATCCAACCTTGGAAGTCTTAGCTACTCGTAAAATATGCTACGGTTGTTGATTTCCTTGACTATCAAGCTTTTCTATTTTATTTGTTGCCATATCCATGTATTAGTTGTATTAAAAATAAATTTTAAAGATAATTTAAATATCTACTGATTAAAACATAGAGAACAAATAAAAATGAAGACTACTTTAGGTCCAAGCATGCATGTTGTCTTTTCAAAGTTACCTAGGGATTGTGGACAATCCAGGAGACATGTGGCTGCATTAAAACCTGTTGCTTCCTTTTGGTCATATTCAGATCTCGAGTGACAGGTGTTTCTTCCACTTGCCAAAGGGATTTCCAGCATATAGTTAATTTTTATGTTTCCTGTCAAGTGGGAAATTATCAGTGGTCTGAGAGCATGGCATATTTGATCCAACTTGGACTGGCTGATAAAGGATTCTTTATAAACTTATAAAATATCCATCAAAAATGAGACATAGTTTTGAAAACGTTGTTTTGTCTCTAGATCCATGTATCATCTTTCCATGTAGGACTACCCAGACATGCCAAGACAGGCAACAGCTGTTCACATGCACATACCAAAACCTACTTGCTCCTCTATAGATGGAAGCAGGAAAGGAGGCCTGAGCCTCATTAGTGACACCTAGGTCTTTTTTCTCCTTACCACATGGAACACATGCCATATGTGGAGTACCATAAGAAAGTCTGGTAGCATCTTACTAAATTGCTACAACAACCATTGACATTTGAATAGTACCCTCATATTTTTAATCAGGAAAGGTGGTGACTATCCTCATTTTATTCAGAGGTTACTGACTCACCTACATCTCTTCCCCAGTGATGATAAGGCAGGGGTAGCCAGGTGCACTCTGCTCCTTGCCAAAGTCATTTGGAGTCAAGGAGACATGAGGGAGTTATTCTGTGGGGATAGAGGGGCTTCTGGTAATGATTTCCCTGAGCCTGAGAACAAATCTTAGGCAAGAGAGTGGTCCTGCTTCTTTCTCCGGATACTGTCTTCTGTCATGTGGTAATGAGATGCCTGGAGCCCTTTCCAGACTGAGTGTGGGGCCAAGTCTGAGTGTTGATGAGTGGAAGAGCATACAAGTGGAGATAACTGGTCCTGAAAAACACCACTGAACCCTGCAACTAACAATGAGTCTTGACTTGCCTGTCAGAGGAGATAAACTCTCTGTATTACCAACACCATACTGTTTCTAATCTTCCTTTCTCAGTGATCACTCTTGGTTACACGGTTTAGTAGAGTTGAGACTTTGATGGAGGTCTTCAGAATCCAAATCTAGTGTTCTTTCTACTCTACCTGCTGATATACTCTGTTTCTAATACACTTGTGCAGGGCCCGTTGTCTGGCTAACCCAACACTGCTCCTACTCTCTTCTCTCTTGTGTCCCTCTACTGTTAATAGTTGCTCTGGTAGCTCATCTGCACTGTTTGTCTCATTTTGCTGACCAAGAAGATATGAGGGAAACCTGTTTGGGAGCCTCTAAACCTAGATTTTACCCCTTTGATAAAAATGTATTGATACCAGTTCTTCTCCATACTTCCTACCTTAAATATGACCATGAAACCATCTGTGATGAGTGGGAGAGGCCAAGAAAATTGTGAAGACCCACTTGTGAAATTACTTATGACACTGACCTGATGCTTGGCAGCCCTCTGTCCCTAGGCTTCTTGTTACATGGGAGGAGATTATTTTCCATTGTGTATAAATCACTGTTATCCAGGTTTTCTGATACATACAGCTGAAAGCTTTCTTAAAAAAATCAGCCATCCAAAAGAATGAAATTTACAATTTGCAATGACATGGATAGAACTAGAGGGTGTTGTGCTAACTGAAATAAGTCAGAGAAAGACAAATGCCATATGATTTCACTCATATGTGGAATTTAAGAAATAAAACAGATGAGCAGGGGAAGGGAACAAAAATAAAATAAGATGAAAATGGAGAGGGAACCAAACCATAAGAGATGCTGAACTCTGGAAATGAACTGAGGCTTTCTGGAGGGAAGGTGAATGAGGGGGATGAGGTAATTGGGTGATGGGTATTAAGGAGGGCACTTGATGTAATGAGCACTGAGTGTCATATGCAACTGAAAATCACTAAATTCTGCCCCTGAAATTAAAATTATAGTATATGTTAATTAATTGAATTGAAATAAAGAAACAGTAATCAGTGAGACTTAATAGGTTAAAGTACCACTTCCCAGGTTATGAGGTATTCAGGAGGCTGAATGACTTCCTGCAAAGGGGTGATTGAAAGGCAAATCTGGGGAAGGATCTCAGGCTATGAGGCCATATCCCAGTGCAGAAAAGGCTTTTGGAGGAATAGCAATCTCCATCGTGCCATCTGTGTTATATTCCTGAAAAGGTGGCTAGGAGTCAGATATACAAAAGCTGAACAGCTGCCTTACTGAGAGAAGTCAGTCCAGCCCTTGCTCGTTTCTCTGCCTCATATTCTTTCTAAGGAAAGATTTTAAGCCATGGGGCTTTTCACTCTACCCCTCTCTCCAGCCCTCTTCATCATGCAGCCAGAAGACCAAGATTCTGTCCCTTCCCTTAGATCTTTGAAAATCTCCCATTCCATTTCCCGGATCCAGAAGTGCTCAGGAACAAATTTACCTACTGAGCCAGTACCCCCTGGCAACAGGCAGGAAATAGAAAGGGGCTTTCATTTTCTGACAAGTGGTCTGTTGCAGTTGAGGAATTCATACCAATTACAGTATGACAAGATACTATTGATCCAGGCAATAGGATTTTAACTGGAAATAAGGGGCTATTTTTTTCAATCATTAATCCCTAACAGGAGAGAAGAAAAGTGTTGCTTTTTAGTTTTAGAGTTCACACAGGTTGCTGAATGTACCCTGGGCCATGTGTTAAGCTCCATGCTATCCAGAAGCAGGGCTTACCATGTCAAGTTCTGGAGTAGCAGTGCTTGGAGATTACAGGGAAAACACCACCCAGGCACTGAGGTACATGCTCTGCAATGGAGGCTGGCAGGACAGGACCATCTGAGGATCATGGGCATTCCTGTAGGGATAGCTTTGGCAGACTTTGGGAAATAATTGCAGGGCAGGATGGCTCACCAAGGTGTGGAACCTCATCAGCAGGTCTCCTTACTGATAGCAGGAGCCAGCTGGCTGGCAGGGTGAAGGGATGGATATGTTGGTGTGACAGAACCAAGAAGAGGCTGAGTGAGGCCATCATTGCTGTGGAATTTGTACATTACGACCTTCTTAAGACCTTCAGATGACCTGCATGACTGTCTACAGAAAGGCCTTGGGCCTATGTCATGCACATTGAGCTTTTCCCTCTCTGATCCTCCTCTGGAGTCAAAACAGCTGGCTCTAGTCCTGGGCTCATTACTTCCCAGCCCCAACATTTCACCATGTTGCCTTTCTGTGCCTTAGTTTCTTCATAGGGACACTGGGGACCCTAGGGGTCATGGGGAAGATGAGGTACCACACCTTTAGAATGTCTTCCTGAGGAGACATTGAACAGACATCTGGTCTTGTCATTCTCAAATTGTTCTCTAGCAGAACTCACTCCACACTGAGGCCTGCATATGTCCCCTTGCCTTGTTGAAGCTGGCTGTGCTTTCTCATTCTCTTGGTGCCTCCTAAATCTCCTCTTCCTTGGGGAAGCCCTACTACCTGGCCTTGGCCTGGTGACCCCAGCCCTCAGAGCATTTCTCTTGGCCTCTCTGATCTCATGCCTGCTATGCATCTCCTACCTCTCTAGGAAGTAGAGTCCCATGAGCCCCATGAGCCCCAAAGGATATGAGCTGATTTGTTCACAGAGAACAGCCTGCTGGGGTAGAAGGGGGAGCTGCCTAAGGTTGGGAAGTTAGCAAGAAATGAATGGAAATTAGGAAGGGGGTGGAGACAGATGTTAGAACTGAAATGAAAATATAGACTCAGCTCTAGCAGGTGTCTGAGACAAGAGGTCTCAAAATGGTTTTGGAATCCTAGAATCACCTGCATGACCTTTTATATCATTACCATAACACATAGACAAACTTTATCTATTCTCTCATATTTCTTGTACTCCAGATAAGGGTAGCTCACTGGGTCTCTACTTGGTCTCATGAGGCCAAGATCAAGGTGTCCCCAGGCTCTGCTTCTTCTGGTAGCTCTGGGATGGGTCTGCTTCTGAGCTCACTCAGATTGTTGCCAGGATCCAGTTCCTTACAGTTCTAAGACTGGGTCCCCATCCATTGCTGGCTGACAGCTGGGCTGCCTTTGGCTCCTGAAGGCCTCTCTCGTCCTGGGACTTGGGCCTAAATCTCAGAGTTAGCAACATTGTGTAGAATCCTGCTCATGGCGGGAATACCTACACTTCCCTTTGGGGTCTCTCCTGGGATCCCTCTAGCCCTCTGGGATCTCTTGGGATCTCTTGGACTCCCCACTCCATTTCTTCCACTGAAAAAAACAAAAACAAAAACAAACCTAGTCTAAGTCTTCTATGGAGGAAAAGCAGAGAGAATAAGATGAGACTTGAGCTTGCCTTCATAAGCCTTTGCACAGGCAGTCTGGGCTGTGTGCCTGACAGGTGGTTGTGTTGCCAGCTGTGTGTTTCAAGGAGAGGGTAAAGACTGCGAGGAAGAAGGGGAGGAGGAGCATGGATTCAGCTGAGTGTCATTTGCACTGACAGATCTTCTACAAGATCCTCTCCTGGGGAATAGGCCCCAGTCTGTGTGTCTCTTCCAGTGGAGAAATCCAGAAGTCCATATTACTCTGAGATTATTTATTCTGTACTTCTCTCCACGCTCAGTGCTCCAGAAGACCCACAAATAATATGTTGCTGGGTTCTCAGAAAAGGCGGAACTTAGGGGCTCAGTGTATACAGCCTAGATTTCACCCTTGGTCCTCCTCCTCCTGCTCTGTTCCTTATGTTGTCCAATTTCAGAGAGGCTGCTCCTTTGTGCCAATATGCAGTAGGCAGCTCCAGATTTGTGCCTCACAGCTCAACAGTCCTTAGGAAACAGAGTCTTTTCCTGAGTGGTTTATGCATACATGTCAAAACTGAGTAAAATAGGCTGAGCCTAAGTTATATGCCTATTCCTGAACCCTGATCTCTGTGATTGGGAGTTAGAAGATGCCGATTGTTTCACCAAGCAAATTCACCCTTCCCTGAATGAGTCACGTTGGTCACTGGCCTTGGGCCACATCCCTCACCATAAGGCCTCACCAGTATGTATGCACATTCAGGTTACAATTCCCCACAGGTCATGTACCCACTGTTAAAAAAGGCTCACACAGAGAGGCATTTTATTATCCTGGTTGTTTGCATCCATCTTTCCATCCACAGACCGTGTTTACTGGTGGTTGTCTGGGCCTGGAGTCCTGAGGAAGGTGGTTCTTATCTGAGATCCCATTCTACTGCTCTGAAAACATCTGTTCTCTCCTATGGTTGTTAGTCTGGCTTACATTTTCCTCTAAAAGATAGATGCCACCATGTGCCACAGTGATTTGCCAATTCTCCTTAGCATTTCCTGTTTTCTACCACATAGAGCAGTTGTAGTCTTATTTGTAAATGGATTACAGTATTTACAGTGAACTTATTTTCTGGTTGTCAGTGTTTTATTTCTAACAGATATTTGCAAAGTAATCACTTTGATAGTACATGTAATCATCAAATCAGAATCCTATGAGATGATACAAATATCACAGAACAAAAAAGAATAGAAGGCTACCACCAAGATAAACTGAGATTTTATTTTACATTTAAAATTTTGATTCCAGGGAATGGGACACTGATTGGAGCATCAGCAAATGTTGTTTGTGCAGGAATTGCAGAGCAGCATGGATATGGATTCTCTTTCATGGAATTTTTCAGGTACTTTAAAACTCATTTTAAATTTCTCTTTGTTTAATCCCTAAACTCACTTAATTAAAAAAAAATAGCAATGCAAACTGTTAAACACTAGGATAAGCAGGATAAGCGTATTTTTAGCAATTAGAGATATGTTAGTGTAGGTGAACTTAGCTAAAAAAAACCACACACATTAAAAATTTATTGCTGGGATTAGCTTCATAACACAGAGCATGATTTAGATATTCTGAATAATTCAGATTGAGTCTAGGGGTCAAGAAATGGTTGTGGGCTTGCTGGATGGTTTATGTTGTTTTCTTGAAAATTCCAACAGTGATTTGTGCCTTGACTATCTATGACTGTGGTGCTTACTGAGAGTCTGAAGATCCCCTACCAGACTGCCCAGTGAAAAAGTCTGTACTTGAAAGGACCCAGGAATATTGCAAATAGGGAACAGGCACTCATGTGTAGGCACCTATCAGGAGGGCATGCAGAGATGACGCCCAGCATGGGGAAGAGCCAGCATTGCTTGCTCCTGCAAAAGAGAACGTGCTCCAAGAGAGCAGAGTCCTTGCTGGGGTCCTGACTCCCTGCATGCCTGTTTTCATATGACACCATTGTACTTTGGAAGCATATGAATGGACAGAATAGGTACTGGTGGGCCCCATAAAATGGTGCTGCTAAAATGAACTGACATTCATTTGGTGTTGAGCAAGATTTCTGTTGAAGTTCTTACACTGTCAACTCACAGATCAGGTATGCATAGCGATGATTCTCAGTACCAACCCTGCTTAAGATTTGGAATAGCAGCTCTACCTGAGGGCAGCGTGACCTGTATCCTGTGGAAGCTATGACCTCAGGCTTCTGCAGGGCACTACTTGGCTGGGTTGGGCTTGAGGATAAAACCTCACTTGTCATACCCAGGTAAGAATCAACATCAGTCTCTACATATAGCACTGAATTTTGGCAGACTTATTATACTGACCATTTCTGTTGTTCACGAGTCACTAATAGTTCTTGACAATTTGTTGGGACACTAAAATTAATTAATTGATACTCCTGGAAGATTTGGGCATGGGATGGAGGGACAAGGCTGGACAGTGAGCCATGGGATACTAACATGAATCTTTTGGGAGGACTCTGGCACGTTGTTTACCCCACTGCTGAAACAGGATCTAAAACTTAGCAATTGACTGCCACTTCCTATTTAGGCATCATCAGTCTGCTAAGCACAAAACTCCTATCACTTAAGAGTTTTCTTTTTTAAAAAAAAGATTTTATTTATTTATTTGAGAGAGAAAACACGAACAGGGAGGAGGGGCAGAGCAAGGAAAAGCAGACTCCTTGCTGAGCAGGGAGCCCAATGCAGGAATTCGATCCCAGGACCCGAGGATCATGACCCGAGCCAAAGGCAGACACCTAACCAACTGAGCCACTCAGGTCCTCCAGACAAAAGTTTTCTTAATGAGAACAACATTCACTATAGCAAATACAGCAGTGGTCTTAGCAGTATAACTTATCATCTCATCTTTGCTGCAGAGGCAGTAAGGATTCATTCCTGGAGCACAGCTAGGAAAGCGGGCTCAGAGGCAAGCGACCTAAGAGGGACAGCAAAAGGAGATATAAACTTGAATCCCCAAATTCCAGGGCTTCCTCATTTGGAATGGATTCCTAATTTCTGCTAAACTGGAAGGCTGTCATTAACATATCCCTAATCTCCTCTTCTTTGGTTAGCCAAAGTCTTCTAACTGGACTCAACAATATACTCACATGGCCACTCAACACTGGTTGGTCTCACAAGGAGACTTGAGAGGCCTCGTATTAATATCGTAAAAGATTAGAGGATTTTCAGGGCAACAATAAATGCTGGTCTGGGGCGCCTGGGTGGCTCAGTGGTTGAACGTCTGCCTTTGGCTCAGGTTGTGATCCCAGGTTCCTGGGATCAAGTCCCATATCGGTCTCCTGCAGGGAGCCTGATTCTCCCTCTGCCTATGTCTCTGCCTCTCTCTCTGTGTCTCTCATGAATAAATAAATAAAATCTTTAAAAAACAAAAAATAATACATGCTGGTCTGATATTTTCTTAACTTTGATATAATAACCAGGAACATGGAAAGAACCCATGTGTCTATCAACAGGTGAATGAATAAAGAAGATGTGGTGTGTATATAACAATGGAATATTATTCAGCCATCCAACAGAATGAAATCTTGCCATTTGCAATGACATGGCTAGAACTAGAGGGTATTATGCTAAGTAAAATAAGTCAGTCAAAGACAAATACCATATGATTTCATTCATATGTAGAATTTAAGAAACAGATGAACATAAGGGAAGGGAGGAAAAAATAAAATAGGACGAAAACAGAGGGGGAGGCAAACCATGAGACTTAACTCTAGAAAACAAACTGAGGGTTTCTGGAGGGGAAATGGGTGGAGAGATGGGTAATTGGGTGATGGGCATTAAGGAGGGCATTTGATATAATGAACACTGGGTGTTATATGCAACTGATGAATCCCTTAATTCTGCCCCTGAAACTAATAATAATAAAAATAATAATCAAGACATCTACCTGACTGAAAGGGTTAGTGTGCAGCCACTCAGATCATGCCCAGAGCTCAGAGTTCAGCTCCAGTGGGTGATATATTGCGTGTACTGAACTTTCTAAGGTAGGCCTTATATTTCTATTCAATATGTGCATCTTGTGTGCAGAGGGACAGTGCAAAAGCTAGGCACTGTGGAAGCCTCAGAAAGACTGGGGCAAGACTGACAGCTCCTCCAAAATTACTTTAGCTAGCAGCCTTAAGAATTGCATCCACCTTCTTAGATGGAGGGAAAATGTCTCTCTGGTGAGTAGTGTTTAAGAGCCATATCTTATTTCTGTATGGTTCCACCTCTGATCATTCTTCTTGTCAAGTCCTTGCTGTTCAGAAACCAAAGCAGTATGGTCATTAAGTGGTCATCTAACTGTTCAGTCCTTATTTGCATAAAATTCTTAGTTTGCAGTTGCAAATGCACTAAATTGACTTTAATCTACCTCATTTCAAAATTTCTTTCACAAAAGATGGCTTCCTGTGATACACAGTGCAAAATGTTGACTTACTATTTTGTTTTTTAAAAATTACTATTTTTTGACTATATAAGTATATATTCCAAGGGGAATATAAAAGAAAAAGAATAAAATATAAAAGTAACTTGTGATTTTGCTGCCATGAAATAACCACTGAAATTTGTTGCATTTTCTTACATTTTCCCTTCCTCTCGTGATACACATAAACTTGTTAAAAATTTTGATTTCATTGTGTCTTACCTTTTATTTTTCATAATATATTGTGAACATTTTACCAGGCCACTAGTTATTCTTTCCAAATGGAATATATTTATACCTATAACATGTAGATATATCACTATTTTAGTTTTGTTGGGCATGTAGATTGCTTCTTATTCCTTGTTATCATAATCAATTCTGTTTTGAATATCTTCACAGATAAAACTTTGCTTCATTCTTGTTTATCAATGATAAATTTCCCGACATACAGTTGCAAGCTAAATGAATTTTTTTAATTAAGTTTTTCATTTTAATTCCATTACAGTTAACATACGATGTTTTTAGTTTCAGGTATACAATATAGTGATTTAACAATTCTATACGTTATTCATTATTCCTCATTATAAGGGTACTCTTTAATCCTAAGCACCTATTTCACCTATCCCCCGACCCATCTCCCCTCTGGTAACATTCTCTTTTGTTTGGTAGTTTGTCTTTTTTTCCCCCTATGTTAATTTGTTTTGTTTCTTAAATTCCACATATAAGAGAAATCATATAGCATTTGTCTTCCTCTGACTGACTTATTTCACTAAGCATTATACTCCATAGATTCATCCATGTCATTGCAAATAGTAAGATTTCATTCTTTTATGGCTGAATAATATTTCATTGTATATGTATACCACATCTTCTTTATCCATCCATTAATAGACACTTACGCTGCTTCCATAATGTAGCTATTGTAAATAATGCTGCTATAAACATAGGGGTGCACATAACCTTTTGAATAGTGTTCTTGTATTCTTTGGGTAAATATTTAGTAGCATGATTACTGGATCATATGTTAGTTCTATTTTTAATTTTTTGAGACACCTCCATACTGTCTTCCCTAGGGGATATGCCACTTTGCATTCCTACCAACAGTACACGAGGGTTCCTTTTTCTCCACATCCTCATCAACACTTGTTTCTTCTGTATTTTTTTTCTTGTGTTTTTGATTTTAGCCATTCTGACAAATATGAGGTAATATCTCATTGTGGCTTTCATTTGCATTTCCTTGATGTTGAGTGATGTTGAGCATCTTTTTTTTAATAAATTAATTTTTTATTGGTGTTCAACTTACCAACATACAGAATAACACCCAGTGCTCATCCCGTCAAGTGTCCCCCTCAGTGCCCGTCACCCATTCACCCCCACCCCCCACCCTCCTCCGCTTCCACCACCCCTAGTTCATTTCCCAGAGTTAGGAGTCTTTATGTTCTGTCTCCCTTTCTGATATTTCCCACACATTTCTTCTCCCTTCCCTTATATTCCCTTTCACTATTATTCATATTCCCCAAATGAATGAGAACATACACTGTTTGTCCTTCTCTGATTGACTTACTTCACTCAGCATAATACCCTCCAGTTCCATCCACGTTGAAGCAAATGGTGGGTATTTGTCGTTTCTAATGGCTGAGTAATATTCCATTGTATACATAAATCACATCTTCTTTATCCATTCATCTTTCGATGGACACGAGGCTCCTTCCACAGTTTGGCTATTGTGGACATGGCTGCTAGAAACATCGGGGTGCAGGTGTCCCGGCGTTTCATTGCATCTGAATCTTTGGGGTAAATCCCTAACAGTGCAATTGCTGGGTCGTAGGGCAAGTCTGTTTTTAACTCTTTGAGGAACCTCCACACAGTTTTCCAGAGTGGCTGCACCAGTTCACATTCCCACCAACAGTGTAAGAGGGTTCCCTTTTCTCCGCATCC